TGGATGTGCCTTCGCCCGCCACCACCGCCACCAGCCGGGACCTGTGCCGCCGGTGGGGCGCAGCACAAGGCAGGGCGCTGCGGGTGCACAAGCCCTTCCGTGCTCTCCTCGACTGCCGCAGCACCCTGGAGCGCATCAGAGGGATGTCGTCCTACCAAGCCGATTACTGGGCATGTGCCATTCCGGATTCATTACCCCCGTCTCCAGACCGTCGTTCAGCCCACTGGAACCCCAATAAGGAGTATGAGGACTTGTTGGATTATGCTTATCCGCTGAAGCCAAGATACAAGCTGGGAAAGGTGCCAGACCCTTTCTTCCACGACTCCGGAATAGGTTTGGACAGCTTTTCTCTTTCCCCTGAGGGCACGTCGAGGTCCACCAGCATCTACAGCCGAGGTGGGCAGGCTCGGGGAGGCAGAGAGAATGGACGTTGGGGGTTCATGGCCTCTGCAGAGAGGTTCTCCACCCCGGGGCCTGGAAGAAGAGGCCACTCATCCTATGAACCTTTACCTATTGCAAAAGCATCCTCCACAAGAAGTGCTTCCTCTCATCCTTCAAGAGGCTTTGATAAGGATGGAACGACAGAGTCAGCTGGGACGGGCTCATCCGGTCGCCCTGCTGCGGGTGAGAGAAGCTGGTGCACCAGAGGGAGCCCCTTCCCAAAGTACAAAGGGCAAGTAAAAAGCACTGGTAGGTTTTTACCTACAACATCAGTGCTCCCCCTGAGGAAGGAGTGGGATGGTGATGAAGAATTCCTCTCCCTGCCTCCGAGATTGCGGGAGCTGGAAAGGCTGGCTCAGTTCCTGTCTGATCTTTCCTTAACTATAAGGACTCCTGGGCACGACCACCGTGAACTTCCATGTCACAGCAGCAGCAGGCAGCCCCTTTCATCCCAGTTGGCTCCTTTCAGAGGAGCGGGTGGCAGGGATGAAAGAGGGAGTTTTGGGGGTTATGCTGGGCTGTGGCAGCCCTGCAGCTCTCGGAAGTCCAGCCACGAAAACACTAAATCATGTGGCCGCATCCGTAGGGATCCTCTGCAGGGGCTTCATCTAACAACTGGACTCGGAGACACATTGGATGGGACGTACCTAAATGAACCACGGGTCAAGGGGTATCCCAAGAAGAGCCATCAGAGCGAGTCCCTTGCCCAGTGCGTTAAGGTAGGCTGAGACCAGAAATAAGGTTTATTATGGGAAGCTCTCACATGACTGTGCCTGGGCTTACGGCACGGTTAATTAAGGCTTCCCCTTCTGCATGATGATTGGTGCCGGGCAGCTGGGTGTAATTGATGCAGGGGGGGCTCACTGGAGCAGATAATTCCTTCTGATGGAGCAAGAGCCCCTCTCGCTTTTCCCGGGGGATCAGCTTCCCCCAGCCCATCCATCCTGCAGCGCTGCTGCACTGGGGAAGAGGCTGGAGCTGCAGCTGGGGCTGGTGTGGAGCCCAGGCTTTGCTGCCTGCCCCATCGCTCCAACTGTTCGGTGCCATCCTACCACTGGTGCCGTGCTCCCCATCTCCCCCTCCATCGTCTTCCTCACCCCAGCCCCGGGCTGAATTTGGAAGCCATGCTGGGCTGTTGGCTAGAAAGTAGTTATTACCATGCACATAGCTGCAAACACCAGAGCAACTCATCCCCTCCTCTTGCATGGGAATAACTCTGCAGATTTAAAAGGGCCTTTTCTACTGTCAGCGTTAGGGTGTATCTCTCACCTCAAATCATGGTGCCAGGGGGAAGTAGCTCAGCTTTATAGCAAAGCCCTGACTCCAAGGAGCAGGAGCGGGGCTGGGCTGGTTTAGGTGGGAGCAGAGCCCCTGGGTTCTGTGCAGCATCTACAGGAATAATCCCTCCCCGAGATGCTTCAAGAATAAATGGAAGCAGTTGATTGAACAAGAGGAACCCTGGGGGAAAGTGGCTGCAAATTAACTGTGTGGCTCCGCAGAGGAGGAGGAGGGTGTCTCTTCAGATGGGAGGTGGTGGAGGCAAACCCTTCCCTTCTGCCTGGGTGCTACCAGCTTCCAACACGTCTCCATAGCAGCCATCTCATGGTGACCCTTGGTTCATGCGACACAGTGGGTTTGGGGTGTGTTTAGGGGTGTAAGGTGGGTTTTGCCTTTTTTCTGTTGACCCTTGGTTTCCCAGGTTTAGGGATGTTTATGTGTATGGATGGGGGGACAGGAGAGAAGCAGGGAGCGGGTGCTTTCCAAAACAGGGCTGGCTCACCTATTCCCGTCCCTGCTGTGCCTTTGTTGCAGGAATAGGTCACTAACCCCTTTTGTTGTGCTTTGTTAAGCAGATGTTCTGCTGCCAGCTGGAAGAGCTAATCCGCTGGCTGTACAACGTGGTGGACATCACTGACAGCTGGGTACCACCCTTGCCGGATGCTGAGAGCGTGAAGGCATCGCTGCACCGCTGCTTGGTGCGTATCACCACTGGCTTTTCTTCCCCCTCTGTGGTGCTGGCACGGTCCAGGCAGGTGATGTGGGATGCACTGGGCGTGCAGAGCTGAATGTGGGAAACTGCCCGCAGGAAACTGCTCCATGGGCAACCTGCTGTACATGTCTCCTCCAAACACCCTCCTAAGCAGCGCTCCTCTTCTCCTTTCCCTTGCCAGGAGTTCAGGAAGGATGTGGCCGACCACCGGAGCCTGACAGAGAGCGTGCTGGAGAAGGGAGAAGCTCTCCTGGACTGCATGGCATCGAATTCGCCAGGTGAGGAGGAGCACCTGAGCAGGGGCCATGGGCACAGCTGGTGATGCTGGCTGTAGCGTCTGCCCCCCAGAATCCCTGGCCCCACGTGTGTGGAAGCAGTGGGCACAGCTTGCTGTTCAGCAGATGTATGGGGAAAAAGGGTTCTATAGCTCCATTGCTGTCTGGAGACTTGGAGCTGAGGTGACTTGGAGGTTTGAAGGGGTAACTCTTGAGTGCTTTCAGCTGCATCACGCTTTCAGCCTTGCCTTGCGCTGTGCCATCCGTCGTGGGTGATGGGTATGTTTGCTCTCTCATAGGTCCCTTAGGTTTTATCTTAACCAGGCCATGGCCAGTTCCCACTGGGCTGTGGGATGCTGTCAGTCTGCAGCTGGGAGATGCTTTTATCTGGTGCAGGAGGAGTGATTTTCACACCCTGTTTGCACTCAGTGCTTCCCAAGCAGGTGTCAGCAGCCAGTGTGGGGAGACATCCCAGCCTGGCTGGGGCATGGCACGCATGGAGCAGCTGCTCTGGTGACCTGGTGCATCCTGCACAAGGGATCTCTAAAGGGGTGGGTGCATCTGCAGTCACCAAAGGGGCTTTAGTGATCAAGTGCTGCATTATGGATGGGCTTAATTGCACAGTCCCAAAGGTCTCCTTCAGGAGGCCCTATTTCTGTATCTTCAGTCTTAACCTAGACCCTCCCAGGTCACTTCCCATCCCCTCCAAACTCTGCATCACAACTTGGAGGGGGTGAAGATCAGCTTATTGATTTCTAACACACTGTTTCCTTCCAAAGCCTGCCCGGGCGAGTGGAATTCACTCACTGCACTTACAGACATGTTACTACCACCTCCATTCATACATTCCTGTTTTCCAGTTCTGAAAGACACGCTGGGTTTGATTGCGAAGCAGTCAGAAGAGCTGGAAACCCATGCAGAGCACTTGTATGAGTCCGTTCTAGCTGCCGTGGACCCCATGCAGGGCGAGGATGGGATGGAGGACAAGGGGGTGCAGCAGATGGCTGCTCAATGGGTAAGCAGGGGGACAAACCAGCCTTTCTGTGGCGGGAGGAGAGGGAGGGAAGTGTAGGAAATTGGAAAGCCTAGAAGGAGAAGAGAGCAAGGGCGAGCTCAGGATGGACGCCCCATGGTCTGTACGTGTGTGTCAGGGAAGAGCAGGGTGTTGCTGAACCAGCTGGTGAAACCCAAGAGCATGATGAGAGTGGTGGCAGCTCCTTGGAGGGACCCTGGGAGCAGGCAGGTCACTGTCAGTTGGGGTGCAGGGGATGGCAGCAGAGCAGCTGCTCTGCTGGAGTCACTTGGGCAGCAGAGGGGAGACCAGGAAGGGGTATTCTGGGGGCTTTTCATCTCCTCAGAACCATTCTGCTTTGCTGTGTCATGGTGGGAAAGGGAAGCAAGTGAATCCTGGTGTAAAACAGGGGCTTTGTTTGCTGACTGCATGTCCAAAGGAGGGCAGTGAAGGGTCTGGAGCACAAGTCCTGTGAGGAATGGCTGAGGGAGCTGGGGGGCTTTAGCCTGCAGAAAAGCAGGCTCAAGGGGGACCTTATCACTCTCTGCAACTACCTTAAAGGAGGCTGTAGCAAGGTGGGTGTCAGTCTCTTTATTTCCCACATAGCAAGTGATAGGACAAGAGGAAATGGCCTCAGGGTGCTCCAGGGGAGATTTAGATTGGATATTGGGAAAAGTTTCTTCCCAGAAAGGGTTGTCAAGCACTGGCACAGGCTGCCCGGGGCAGTGGTGGAGTCACCCTCCCTGGAGGTATTAAAGAGCTGTATAGATGTGGTGCTTGGGGACACGGTTTAGTGCTGGACTTGGCAGTGCCAGGTTACCAGCTGGACTTGGATGATCTCAAAGGTCTTTTCCAACCTAAAAGACTCTACGATTTCTTGACCACCTTCTTTCAAACAAATCCACAGGGACAGAAGTGTCTCCGGAGCGCAGGGCAGGAGGGCTGGTGTATGGGGTGCAGGGGTGGCAATGGCACGTGGTGTCTGTGGGCAGGCCCAGCTGCGTGCTGCCGTGGGAATCACTGTAAAACTGTGGCTGTACAGAATGGAATGCTCATGGGTGCTGGTGCTGGGGCCAGAGGCACAGGAACGCTCTTGACAGCTGCTGAGCACCCAAAGGTAGGAGATTAGGAACCGCAGGATAACCTTGGCCACCCCCTATTAAGCTCAGACTGTTGACATCCCCACAGCCTGCTCCATGGCACGCCTTAACATTTGGAATTGCAAAGGGGAAATGTTATTTCTAGCACTTTAGAGACTAACAATAGATGAAGGGTTCAAGGCCAGGTTGGGCTTTGAGCAACCTGCTCTAGTGGAAGGTGTCCCTGCCTGCGACAGGGGGTTCGAGCTGGGTAAGCTTTAAGGTCCCTTCCAACCCAAACCATTCTCTTATTTTGTGGTAAGTAGTTTGGTTTCTTAATTGCTAAATATATCTGTATTAGGTATATTTAGAGCTATCTCCTCTACACTAGTGAGCAGCGCTGGAGGTGATTTAAGGAGGTACAGCACGGGTGTTTTCTCTCGTTGTTGGATTGCAGCCAAAGCACAGTAGCAAACTTAATCCATCTCATTTCAGGTGCTGCCTCGATCAGACCTGGGCTTGCTCAGCCAGGCACGGGATGGCTGAGAGCTGCAGCAAGCACCAAACCACCTCCTTCCCCTCCCGCAGAGACGCCAGACCACGTAAAAGCACCGTGTTGGGAGTTAGCCAGCCGGGGCTGACTTTGGGTTGGATTTTTACTGTGGCTTGAGAAGGGCAAGCTGTGCAGCAGTTATTTGGCTGCTGGGGTGTGTAGTTCATAGTTCTGCGAGTGAGGAATGTGCAGCTGGCCTTTTGGGGTTTGTTTCTTAATGTAGCTTTCCTGGTGTTTTTAATCTACGTGTTAGCAGAACGTCAGGAACGCACCGGTTTTTAGCTGAGTAATCCACCGTGTGCCGTGCAACTCACTCCTAAGTAAAGCTGTGTGATTTTAATAGCTGTGGTCTCATGGTTTTGTTTGTGATCTTCAAAAATAGGTGCTAGAAGCCAAGAAATAGCAACTCCTCCTGCATCTTGGGAGCAAACTGAACTCTTTGTTTATACTTATCCACAGTCCCTGATGGAGAGGGACTCTTCATCAAGGACTGTAGTGGTAGGACATGCGTTTAAACTAAAACAGGGGAAGGTTAGATTAGATATAAGGAAGAAGTTCTTCACAGTGAGGGTGGTGAGGCACTGGAACAGGTTGCCCAAGGAAGTGGTAAATGCTCCATCCCTGGCAGTGTTCAAGGTCAGGTTGGACAGAGCCTTGGGTGACATGGTCTGAGTGCGAGGTGTCCCTGCCCACAGCAGGGGAGGTTGGAACTGGATGATCTTAAGGTCCTTTCCAACCCAAACTATTCTGATTCCCTGTTGAAGCACAGCCTATTTAACTTCCAGCTTTCTTAGGTATAAACACAAAGAGCTAATATGTTATATGAACCTTGGTAATAATCAGGTGAGCACACTCAGGGAAGAACCAGGTTATAGATAAACTGCTGTTTGCTGTTACTTGCAGTAGTGGTGTTGGTGCTGTGCTGGGTTCCCTGGGTGCAGCTGTGCCTTTCCCCTCTTGCAGTTAGTGGAGCTCATCACTGCTCACATAACAGCCACAAAGGGTTTCCAAACCTTTCTGCAACAGAAAAACACATCTCAAGCAGCAGAATGAGAGAAACGGCCAAAGAGTTACAGCCAACTACAGAAAGTTGGTACTTGGCTGTAATGAACCTTTCAACTAAATGGTGATCAGCATGTTCTGGTGCAGATGTAATTTCCTCCCATTCTTGTGAGCACAACATGAAGTTTCTGCACTGCACAAGCACAAACTGAAGCAGTTACAAATTACAAATAACTCACTGAGTTTTGTGGGGTTTTTTTGATACTCTCCACTCCTCCACCTCCTCAGCTTAAAGGGCAGTGTTTCTCATTGCCAAGATGCAGGTGACAGCTCAAAGATCAGTACAAGTTGTGGTGAGACATGGGCACAGGATGCCCAGAGAAGCTGTGGCTGCCCCATCCCTGGCAGTGTTCAAGGCCAGGTTGGACACAGGGGCTTGGAGCAACCTGCTCTAGTGGAAGGTGTCCCTGCCCGTGGCAGGGGGTTGGAGCTGGATGAGCTTTAAGGTCCTTTCCTACTCAAGCCATTCTATGAGTCTAAAGTTCAGCAGAAAGGCTCAAGCAAGTGGTTACGCTTAAGACTGGTCTCACTGGCTTTACCAACAGCAGGTCCCATACCTACAGGCACTCAGAGCAATGCTTAAACACTTAACATGTGAGCTCCCAGGTAAGAGACAACAGTGTCCTTGCCCCCAGGTTTCTAGGTCTGCTCTGCCCTCTTCCACACACCTCCAGCCTGACCCCTGCAGGCTCTAGCGTTTAATAGCACAGTAACCCAGTGATGACTTAGGGACAAAAAATAACCACCAAACAACTGGTGTAGCCCAAGTTGGTTTTGCAATGCTTTTATTACTGTATATATTAACATTGTTTTGGATAGTATGTAGCAGGCATCTTGACATTTAAGTTCATTTGTGCACTTCTCTGCAGGGAAGATGTTTTACCCTCAACACACCTCCTCCTGATTCACTCCCTGATCTTGGCAGCACTCACTACTCCTACTGCTCCTGCTCCCAAAGAGGAGCAAGTCACATTGTATAATGAATTATACCAACAAGCACATCTCTAATAGAAAGCACATCACTTTATTGTGAAGGTCTCAAGTGGAAGAGTTCAACTTAACCATGACAATACTTTATGTATTACAATTGCCTGTTGATTTATGCAACTATGTTGAAGAAAGCTGTTAGCCAAAGTCACCCCCCCCCCCAAAAAAAAAAAAAAAAAAAAATCAGAGGATATTTGCACCAGTTTTAGTTTATACCTCACAACATACCTAGGCTATATTTTTTTTTACTATCACAGGGTGTATTTACTACTAGGGGAATGTTACATGGTCTTTCAAACATGAGACTATTTACAGAATAGGCTGAACATTGGAGTTTAGATAAAGCTGAACAATTTTACATGTATAGGAAGTGTTATAGGCTAGCTTTCCTGTGGCTTTTAGCTAGACATCAGGCACTAATGATTTGATTAGCTCTGTACAAAGAATCACACACTGTCCAAAACCTCTTGGCTGCTGGTTAGTTCCAAATTGTTCCAGATAGCGCCTACTTTGAGCAACAGTCTGGGGTGGGGCCTCCCTGTCCCACTGCATCCTTCTGGTGCCTCTGTGCGCAACGGAATAGAAGCTAAGCTGTTGCACTAAGTCAGAAATGGACTGATTAGAAGAGGATGGAATCAACAGTATATAGAAAAGACATAATATACTGGTAGAAAGTTATACCACCTCAAGGTTACGCTGAAGTCATTCATGTTAGGGAAATACTGTTCTCTACCCCTGCTATGCAAAGCTGACAGGAATTCCCTAAGTAGAGTCCTTGAGAAATAAATTAAGTTCCAAGACCAAGTTAGGGAACTGTTGTACATTCAGAGTGCATTATGCCTCCCTGAACATCGGCTGGGTGCTTCTGGTACAGCATATGTGCCTTAAGCACCATGACCACTCAGTCTTTTGGGCCACAGTCACTAGTTTCACTTGCAAGGAAGGGCTCTGGTCTACTAGAAGGTCTGAGCGCCATGGCTGCACACAGATATGTTTTGTGCACAATGCAAGCCTGATTTCCCCCTTAGCCATACAAATTAAGACAATATTTATCACCATACAGTTTGATATTACTTCCAATAAGTACAATATTTATTAAACATTTTCTTCAGTTTTGTTACATATTGTGCAACAAATTACAATATTCTGCAGCCACAAATTATATGCAGAGTATGAAGAAACTATTAATCAGATAGTGTGATCTTTCCATTTATAATTCTACAAGAAGGAACTAGCAAATCAGATCTTACATATATCTTACTAAATTGTATGCATGGAAAGTGACAGACACTGTTGTGCTGTTTGATACAAAATGGCTAAACTTCATCTTCAGAAGACTAAACCTGACATCTAAACATGCCAATAGAAACATCAAAACAAAAATACATCCTAACCAACCACAGGAAACAGTCTGGTATCAGGAAAAGCAACAAGGATTACACGTTTATAAACCAGCACACAAAGGTTTAAAACAGTTCTGAAAATGAAGTTAGCTGTCTTGAGTCAAGGGAATAAAAAAAGTCAGTATTGACCATTTACAATCTCTGACCTTTGTGGAGACGGTAAGAATCTGTTGTAGTGCAGCTACATACAGTACAATTCAGGCAATTTTTTTTTCACTTGGGTTCAGATTGCAAATTCATTGTTGTGAGACAAAAGGGGGGAGGCGAGTTTTAGCAGCAACCTCCACTAGACTGCTTGACTGGAGTGCTCTGAATTTTAACATTGGACTTCTCTGCACCACCAGCTGTCGCTCCCGGGCCCATTCGTTTTTTAATCTCAGCAGCCATGGTCATGAAAGACTGTTCTACATTTGTGGCATTCTTTGCACTGGTTTCCAAAAATGGAATTCCAAGAGAATCTGCAAATTCCTGCAAGTCAAGGAACAGTGAATAATGAGCTCATACACTGGTTCATACCTCACCTTGTTTCCTGGGGCACCGCTGGGTGAGTTGCAAGTTCCAGTACCACCACCCCACTCCCAGGGTCGAGCCTGATGAAGACGTGCACTGCATGGGATCAGTGAGCTGCTGGCATTTATAGTACCTTGACATCTGCATACCAAGACACTGCACATACCATGCACTAGAACTTACTCAAAGTGTGTTACAAACCAGATTAGGCGCTCAACTGAGCAAAACCATGAAAATCAACATACCTTTGCTGTTGTATAGTCTACTACTTTCTTTGTGGTCAGATCACATTTGTTCCCCACCAACAACTTGTTGACGTTTTCACTGGCATAACGGTCTATCTCCTGCAGCCACTGTTTTACATTATTGAAAGACTCCTAGGAGATAAGACAGCTGTAAGCAAGACCTTTAACCAAGGGGAAAGCTTGGCATTATTCAGCGATGACTGGGAAAGAAGATGAAGCAGTGTACTTCGTTTATCAGTGTGAGTCCCAACTGCAAGAGAGCTCCCTAATGCTACAGTACTCCCCTGATTGCCTCAGTCAACACAGGGTCTCTGCAGCTCCCCAGTCTAAGCCCTACACAATCAGCACTTCCTCCCTCCTGCACTCCCCCCCCCATTATTTTTCCCCTGCTCCATATCTTGACTATTCAGCTTACACCACCTGGGACTCTTCTTTCTCTTCCTGTAGCAGAGATAAGACAGAGCACAGCTGAAACCTGAGGAATCCCAGGCATTTACAAAGCACCAGATATTAGGTGCAAACCACATTGTTGTAGAGGTGGTGGGACCACCTTTGACTCCAGAAACGCAGAATGCCATGCTGCACTGAGAGCCAGGTTAACAATTGAACCCAATTGTTCTTTTTCTATTAATTCAGGAAACTCTACACTTCCTAAAAGCCCTTCAACCAGGACTACTGCACCAGTAATCTTCAGAGATCTTTCATAGAAGACACTGGCTCAGTTGTACCCTGCACACATGCTGACAATTTTCTGCTTCAAATGCCAGTTTCTGCTGCAGATCAAAGTTCAGATACCTTAAGAAATCTTTCAACAGCTTCCACCAGTAACTCAGCCTTCCTGTGACCAAAGGCAGGGTGAGAAGTATTCACATAGAACAATCAATTACCTGCCCAGCAAGTTTTAGTTAAAGCCTGAAATAAAAGTGCTGTAGAGCCACAGATCCCATTGCTCCTTTTTACTTCTGTGTTTAGCTCCAAATCAGAGACATACAACTGGCTTAATAAACCTTAACACAGCCTGAAGAACATGGTCACTGTCTCCTCAGGAAGTGCTCAGTTGTTAAATTCCCAGTCCTACTTTATCAGCCTAGTGTATTCCACCAGGAGAAACTCTCCAGGATAGGTTTGACACTTACCTGATCTGTAACGTCATACACAACTATGATGCCATGAGCGCCTCTATAGTAACTGGAAGT